GCGCCCACTTCCGCACGCGCTTCCAGCGCCCGCACCGCCCGCGCGGCCTCGCGCTGCGCCCGCCGCCGCCGCGCCTCTCCCACAACCGCGTGCTCCTGTCCTCCGTGCCGGCCGCCGTCGGCGACGGCCTCGGCCACCGCACCTGCATCCTTAACTACGAGCTCCACCTCGCCCTCACCCTGCGCCTCACCTACTCGCACCGCGTCTCCCACTACGGCTCGCTCACGCGCCGCGACCCGCTCGCCATCGAGCGCCTGTTCGGCTGGGGGCGCGCCGAGCTGCCGCGCGCCCACCTGCTGCGCCGCGCGTGCGCGGAGGTCGCCTACGTCAACGACTCGTGCCCCGTGCCCGCGCAGAGCGTCGTCTGCAATCGCGTCAGGACCCGCGCGCAGGGAGGCCTGTTCGACCAGACAGTCATCATACCGGACGAGCTCGCAGAATGCTTCCTGCAGAAGCCGCCGCGCGAGGGGAGCTTGGACCAAGTTTGTTTTCCGCTCGTGCAGAGCTTCTTGGCGGCCTACTCAGAGCCGAACACCCTGTTTCAGATGCGGCCCAAGCTCTGCTTCACAGACTACCTGTTCACCAACTTCAGCCAGACGGCGGACTGGTTCGCCGAAAAGTACTGGGCGGGGCGGTTCGTGAGCAAGAAGGAGACGGCGCGGCTGCTGGCTTCACGTCAGCAGCAGTCTGGCAATCTCCAGGGCGCGGAGAACGCGTCAGACGTGATCCGCACGCGCGAGCTCTCGCTAGACGCTCAGCGGGTGCACATCTCGCTGCACGTGCGTCGCGGCGACTTCTTCAATTACACGAACCGTGTGCTGATCCCCGACGCGACGTACGTGGACCTGGCGGCGCGGGTGAAGATCGCGCTGGACGAGATGGTGGGCGGGAACGTGCCCATGACGGTGCACGTGTTCTCGGAGGGGGTGCCGGCGAAGAAAGAGCGGCTCAAGGACAACCACGACGTGGCATCGATGGAGAAAGTGTACGTCGACGAGAGGGGAGGGCGCAGGCCAAAGGGGCACTGGCGCAGGCTGATGAGACAGTGCAGAAGGTTGAGGGCCGTGCATGGCGCAGGGAGAGGGTGGCGACGGCCCGATGTGGAGGTGAAGATGCATGTGGCGACGGATACGATTCAGGCGCTGCATGACATGATAGCGTCGGACTTCTTCATCGGAAGTATTAGTGGGTTGAGTATGCAGGTGGTGAGGAATATCGGGCGCGGGCTTACTTTGTTGCCGGTGCATGACTCGGAGATTCTGGATGACGAGTTTCTGGTGCCGTTTGATTATGCTAGGAACAACATTCCGTCGTTTTTGGATGAGAGGTTGCTATATGAAAAGGTGGGTGAATATGCCAGGAAGAGCAGGTTGGCGTGTGCTATTTGGTGATGTCAGGGAGGTTGGTGGGAGGGATTTTGTGTATGGGTTTATATGGAAAAGACATGTCATAGTTATCTCTTCATTGTCTTCGAGTCTTCACTTGCCCTCTGTAGCAGTGGTAAGTCCTACATAAACGTACGGTAATAGAAAGTGTTGCCGCTGCGTCCTCCCGGCGTGCATCCTACGCCGTGGAGCGTTCCTCTTAGAAAGATACATGTACAGCGTACAACACATGTTGTTACAGTAGACAGGTAGAATTGCTAGTGTCTAGTTTTGGCACAATCGCTGAAGAAGAAGACTTCGGCGGATCGACTGGGGCAGCAGGCTGAGACAGCATGTGCATGACCTTGTTTTTAAGTTTTTCTGTTATTGGACCTGTTATGCTCAAATATGGGCCAAATCGCATGGGATGATGACAAGTGGAGGCAGTTTCCAAAATCGAAACTAGGCGGTGACGTCAGTCGGCTCGTGTGGGACAGGCGTTCAGTCTCGCATCATCTGCTCGCTGTACAGGGGGGTCGCGCAATAGTGCTACTTGGAGTAGTGCCTACCACGCATTAGTGCTATGCAAAACGCTATGGCACGGTTAGCATACGTCCTACACGTGTTCATACACGTGTGGCTTCAGTGCGACGGCGGGAAGCGGAATGACGAAACATTTTATCATGATGAAAACCTAATCCTTTTTGTCTATCAGCGGGCCCCAATGCATAGCTTGCAGAGAGCCACATTGCAAACAACTTTTCAACCATAATGGTACCTCCCACTCAAGAACCACCCTCTCGTCCCAATCCCTCCCCACCTCCTCGCACGCCGCTCACCCTTATTGAAAAAATTGAGGCAGGGCGCCTTCTCAATATCGGATACACACGACTCATACTAAAGGCCTTTAACGATGGTTTCGGATGCTTGTTATGTCTGTAAATGATTGTGTTTTGCGCTTTCTGTATAGTGCCACTCACGCAATAGTGCCATATGTCGAGGTCTGTCATGGGGTAGCACTATAGCGTGGGACCCCTTGTACTGTATTCTACCAGCTCTTGACTGGACGTGTATGTTGCAAAAGGGAACCCAGGATCCAAGTCAACAACTAGCAAATCTCCGATTATCGAAGAGCGTCATCACAAGAGATAAAACGGCCCAACAATCCACTCCGCGTATAATCAGTCAACTCTACGACACCTCCGCCAAAACGATGCACCACAAATATTTGCACCCAAAATGCCCAGAAGAATCCCATACCTCCTGAAAGTAGTACCTTTGCCAAGGAGTTTCAACTCTCCACTTGACCCCCACGGACCGCTTTTACTGCTTCTGGTCATACAGCGCATCCAACGCACCCTGATACTTGGTCTTCAACTGCGGCCGCTTAAGCTTGAAGGAGGGCGTCATGAGGTTGTTATCCACCGTAAAACCTTGTCCCATCTCGTTAAGATCGCTCACCTCAATCACGACGTCGCGAATGGTTTCATACTTCTTAAAGTGGCTCTTCTCCCTGATCTCAGCGAGCTGCTCGAGCAACTCCTTCTTGAAGCCCGGCGCGGCGGCGATGCTCTCCATGGTCGTGAGGCCGCGGTGCTTTCCCCACGCCTCTGCGGCCGGGACGTCGGGCACGACGACGGCGAGTAGCGTCGCGTGCAGCGAGTTGCCGTAGACGAAGATCTGCCCGCAGAGCTTGGCCTTGTTGTACTCCTGCTCCAGCGCCTCGGGCGACACGTACTCGCCCTGCGAGAGCTTGAACAGGTTCTTGGCCCGGTCGATGATCTGCAGCGACCCGTCCTCGAGCCATTGCCCGACGTCGCCCGTACGGAAGAACCCGTCCTCCGTAAACGCTTCCTTGGTCGCCTTCTCGTTCTCGTGGTACCCGTCGAACACTATCGCGCCCTTGACACAAACCTCCCCGCGCGGGTACGGCTTGTCCTGGTTGAGATACCCCATGTCCGGAAGGTCCCGCAGCTTGACCTGCACGCCCGGCAAGGGCCCGCCGCACGTACCAGACTTGGACAGGTCCGGGACGGAACAATTCATCCCTCCCACCGTCTCCGTGAGGCCGTAGCCCTGCACGACGGGGCAATTGAAGCAAATCTTCAAAAAGTCATTCGTCTGCCCGGACATGGGCGCCGAGCCCGTAATCACGAGCCTGGTTTTGGGCAAGATCTTGGCTCTGACCTTTTCAAAGATAAGCCTGTCCCATAGGCCCATCCTACCGACGACGCCCGGGTTCTCCACGGCGCGCAGCTGCCTGGCATAGCCCCAGTGGAAGAGGGTCTTCTTGATAAAGCTCGATTCCTCAACGCCCTGCTCGATCTTCTGCTGAAAGCGGGCAAAGACGCGCGGCACGCCCGCAAACACGGTGGGCTTGAGCACCTCGAGATCGTTAAGCAGCTTTCTAATATCGCCAGAGTAGAAGCCGATCCTGGCGCCCTTTCCGAGCATCAGACCCTCGGCCTGCTGCTCGAAGATATGGCTCAGCGGAAGGTAGCTCAGCATAGAGTCCTCATGCGTAAACGCAGCGTCCCATTTGTCGAAAAAGGCGAAGGCAGACGAAACGCTCGCCAGCACCGCACGATGCGAAAGCCTGACGCCCTTGGGGTCACCCGTCGTCCCCGACGTATACATGAGTACCATCAAGTCGTCCAGGGTAACCTCCGGCGGCTCGTGAACACCTTCCTTCGCCAGGCTCTTCCCCTCATCCAGCACCATGACAATATCCACAACCCCCTCTCCAGTAATGGCCTCCGGCGTAGGCTCGATGTCTCCGTGCCCCAGGACGACGACCCTCGAAACAGTGGGCGTCTTGCCTGTGTCTCTCACGCTCGCGAGCTTGGGATAATTCTCAGCCGAGACGCAAACGACTTTGACTTGGGCGTGGTTGCACACATACTCGACGACGTTCGGGCCGAGGGTATCGTAGATCGGGACGACGACAAAGCCCTGGCTCAGCATGGCGTACTGCATGAGGGTCCACTGCGGGCAGTTGCGGGCGTACATGCCGACGCGGTCGCCCTTCTCCACGCCCATGTCGCGCAGGGCGCGGCCCAGGGCGTCCGTCTTGGCGACGACGTCCGCGTAGGTCCACCACTCGAAGGGGGCGTCCGGGGCGGCGGAGGCGCGCCAACCGAGGCACGGGGCGTTCGGGAAGGCCGCGGCCGAGCGCAGGAGGAGCGCGTACATGGACGGCAGGGCCGGATGGCCGGGGTGCGGCACGGCCGGGTCGAAGCTCGTCGCCCAGCCGCAACCGCGGACGGTCGAGTCCGGCGACAGCGGGGCCGACACATCCGTGCTGAGGAGAGACATGGTGGTTGGCTGCGGGTCGGGGAATGGGGTGGGGGAAGGGGGTTAGGTGGTGGGGGGGAG